TCCTTCCTTCCTTCCTTCCTTCCTTCCTTCCTTCCTTCCTTCCTTCCTTCCTTCTTGGTCTTTTTTAAAGGTAGCGTCTTGCTCTGTAGCCCTGGGACTCATGTAGTCCACGTTGACCTCAAACTTGTGGCGGCTGTCCTGAGTACTGCAGTTACAGGCCTGTGTCACCATTCCCATCTGCTTTGATTTTTTACATTCAATGTTCTCATAGCTTCTAGTTTTTGTCATATAATCATGATGTGCAATATATAGTCTCTGATTTTTAAGACAAACATTAACATTTTTAACATCTCTGACAGTTGAATTGGAATTTGACTTAAGAACCGGTGATGTCTTAGATAAAACAGTGTGATGTAAATACATAGATATATGTGATATGAATATTTAAACACATGTATACAGTAGTCCTCTCTTTCCTGTGGTTAAGCTCAGTCCAAAACTATTAATGGAGGCCAGGCATGGTGGCAAACACCTTTAATCCCAGCACTTGGGAGGCAGAAGCAGGCAGCTCTCTGGGAGTTCAAGGCCAGCCTGATCTACATAGCTAGTTCTAGGCCAGCTGTGGCTACAGGGAGACCCTGTCTCAAAAAAAGACCAAAAAAATTTTTTTTAAAGATTTGTTATTAACTATTTTTGTTATATGTGTATGAATGTTTTGCCTGCATGTATGTAAGTGCAGCACATATGTGTAATGCCTGCAGAGGACAGAAGATGTCAGATCCCCGGGAACTGAAGTTACAGGCTGTTGTTAGCTACCCTATAGGTGCTGGGAACTGAACTTGGTTCCTCTACAAGAGCAGTCATTGCTCTTAACTGCTGAGTCATTTCTCCAGCCCAATTAAAAAATTTTAACTTGCACAATTCTGAGTGGTATAATAAAAATTTCTTGATGCCCCAAATGTGAGATCAATCGTTTGTGTGTCCAATATTCTTATTGTGTGTGCTGCTGGCCGTGTATTAGCTGCTTAGTAATCTGTCATCAGATTGACTATGAAGTATCTTAGTGTGCACATTCCAGTAACTTCTACTTAATAATGGCCCCCAATATACAGATGCTGACAATTCAGAAAGTCCTAAGGCAAGCCATAAAGTGCTTCCTTTAATAGAGAAGGTGAAATTTCTGCACTTAAGATTATATACTGTTTGTGAAAATCAACAAGAGTGAATCTTCTGTGAAATAGTAAAAAATAAAAGAAATTCATGCTAGTTTTGCCATCATACCTAGAAGTGTACTTGGTACTGGCTGGCCACAGTGTATGTGAAGTGGTCAGTTAAAATGGAGAAGGCATTAAACTTGTGTATTCATAGAGAACAGTATAAGCAGGACCTGATGCTATCAAGACAGACTCTCTCTCTCTCTCTCTCTCTCTCTCTGTCTCTCTCTCACACACACACACACACACACACACACATGCTCAGTGTTCATGAATGTACTAGTTTCTTAAAATCTGATTATTTTATTTTTTTGTGGGTCAGCCAGTCTTCAATGAATGTTTCTGGCAAATACTGTCTCTTTCACAGGAGTATATTTTTATTTGGTGTCTTTTTTCCTATTTCCTTTCTCTTCCTCTTTTTCTTGTTGTATGGCATAACAGGATTTCATATGAAAGTCCATAATTTTATTGGCACTGTTAATGAGCCCACTTTTTTCTCCCTCAAGGAAATGTCTGTGATTACTATGTCACTATTGTTTATTTATATGTCTTATTTGGGATTTTTCTACCAAAAACTTCGTGGGATGAAAAAGAGTAGTTGGGGACTAGAGAAATGGCTCAACAGTTAAGAGCACAGGCTGCTCTTGCAGAGGACCGGGTTTCCATTCCCACCACCCACCTGGCTGCTAACAACTGTCCTAACTCCAGTTCCAGGGGATTTAACACCCTCTTCTGGACTCTGTGGGCATTGCATACACAGGTGTACTTACATGCAAGCAAATACACTCAAACACATAAAATACAAACAAATCTAAAAAGAAAAAGAAAAACAGAAACAATGGTTGTTGAAAAGATCCTTAGCTGGTATTTTGTCACTAGTAAATCCACCTGGAGCACAGTCTGTGTGTTACTCCCTTAAGGTGTTTACATTAAGTATACTGATTTTTTTTTTTTTTTTTTTTTGGTTTTTTTGTGTGGTCTCTCTGTACCCCCAGCTGGCCTGAACTTGCTATATAGACCAGCCTGGCCTTGAACTCCAAAAGATCTGCCTGGCTCTGCCAGTGCTGGGATCAAAGGCCTGCGCTACCACACCTGGCTAGGTGTGCTGAGTACTTTTAACCTAACATAGAAATATGCTTGTTACAGTTGAGCTGGTAGGCAGTCTAGGTTTCAATTTTATAAAACTACGTTTGTTTTGATTTTTAGGTAGTACTAATTTCTTAACTTTATAAAAATGAATTTGCCAACTAATGAAGGGTTTTGTTTTTACTTTATCTTATCTTGATGGTTTGTGATGTAAATTGTAGCTTTGTCCTGGGTTTACTATTTTTAGTTTAAGGCGCTGGAAAGAGCCCAGGCCCTGACACATGCTAGGCAGTTACTTTACCTCTGAGCTACACTACTAGCCAGTCCTGAGATATTTAGACATATTTCAGCAGTTATATTCCAAATCACTAGTATATTTGCTGGGCTCTGGAAGACCAATGTATCTTGAATCCCTCGTATATTAGGTGGAGGTAGTGGCTACTTCTAATTGTTTTTTTTATTTATTTTCCTTCTAATTGTTTTAAAGACAGGTTTCTCTGTGTGTGTGTGTGTGTGTGTGTGTGAGAGAGAGAGAGAGAGAGAGACAGAGACAGAGACAGAGACACAGAGACACAGACACGTGCCTGTGTGTGTGTGTCCCATGCTGGCCCTGAACTCAACAATCTTCTGATCCTCCTGCCTCAGCTTCCCAAGTGCTGAGATTACAGGTGTGTGCAGTCATGTCTAGATAGATTATTTTGGGAGGTGAATTCATTTCAGTAGTGACAAATCTTGAATGTTTCTGTTTTTCTTCTCATTCTTTCCTCTTTCAGAAGAGGAACAGTTCATAATCAATCTTGGCAGCAGTACAAGACGCTGATTTGTAGTGGCCACCCCAGTTCTGTCAGGAGTAAAATTGACACATTTCGGTGTTGTTATAAGCCAGGAATATACTCCATGAAGAATTGTAATACATAAGTAGAATATAGCCTTTTAAAAGTCATGTTGGAAGAAGAGGGGATAAGGGGTGATCTTTACTGAATGTGAGTTTGAGGCTTTGGGGCTAATAAGGGATTCTGTCTTCTATTTAACATACGTCACCAGACTTGTACATTTTGACTTAATACTCGTGATCATGATCCTGTGCTGTTTTTATGGCTCTGCTTGAGTACAGCAGTATTCTGAGGTACGGAGTCAGCTGTAAATCATAAGTGTTAGGCTTTCATAAGCTTGTGCAATCTCACCTGTACATTCCTAGCTGTCAGTAATGTTTCTTCCTGGATTTTCTTCTCAGCAACCCGATAGCAGAAGGGTCAACTCTTCTGTTGGATTTTCTGTTTTGCAGCATACAAGCAATGACCCATATTGCTTTGTGGAATTTTATGAACACAGAGATGCAGCTGCTGCATTAGCTGCTATGAATGGGAGAAAAATTTTGGGAAAGGTAAGATAATAGGATGATGGCACCTTGTGAGTGCATATATTTGCATGTTAAATCAGCCTGTATTCTTTCTTAGCAAGATTTTAGATAGACATTCGGCTGCTGAGTGATGGCTCTTTTATTCAGCTAGTGCTTTTACACAAATAATCCTGCTTGATAAATGATTAAGTGGTAAGTGTTAAAGTTTGAAATGACATGCTTAATAATTGTATTAAATATAATCTTTATTTTTAGGAGGTCAAAGTAAACTGGGCAACAACACCAAGTAGCCAGAAAAAAGACACTTCCAGTAAGTACCCTGCTGCATTTTACCGTGGATGAGTTCCAAGCTCATCCTCACAGCATTGCCAGCTTACCTAGGGCTTTTCCTCCCTTAGTGTTGCCTAAAAAGACTTAGTACCTAACTTCTTAAGTAGTTGATACTAAATGCTTTGATTTCAGATCACTTCCATGTGTTTGTTGGGGATTTGAGTCCAGAAATCACAACAGAAGATATCAAATCAGCATTTGCCCCCTTTGGTAAAATATCGTAAGTATCACAATCAGTATTATCAGTAGTGATAGGCAAAATTGTATATGATTAACTTACATTAGAAGTAAGATTTTCTTTCTCTAGTTAGTGTGTCTTTCTTTGGTTTTTCCTTTTGTTTTGTTTTGTTTTTTGAGTAGATGTTGTTGCAAATGTTGATGTCATTTCGATGTGTTTGGGGTCTTGTTTCAAATGATCTTGTGTATAATGTTTGAAAATCTTAAGTCATTCTGTTGTTGCCTTTAAAGAAAATATTTGAGTGGTAAAAATTCCAGCTTTTTGTCAAATGTTTTCAAATCTTGGTGGTTAAGGGTAATGGATTAATAAAAACGAAATGTGATTTATATTGTATATTGAACTTTTATTGGAGGAGTTTATATGTGGGGGAACTAGGCGAATCCTTGAGTATTTTATGGTTAAATTGGAAATGTTCATGTTTAAATACAATAATGTGTTTTGATATTTTAGCTTTAAGTAAAATGTAGTGCCATTACAGTTTTAAAATGTTTTATGTTTGAATCAAATGTGAGGTTAATTTGACTTTTGTTAATATTTGATTCTAATAGTAAGGGGATCGATATGGGTGTTTTGTTTTAAACAAAATATATGCTCAAATTTTGTTGTTACTTGACTAAATATATTGGAAAATTTAAAGTGGTCACCAGTTCTATCATAATTTATATGTCATAATTTATCTTTGATTAAAATCAGTTTATATATTTGTCAATTTAAATTAAACATTTTAGTATGACTACAGAAATGTTTTAATTAAGAACAACACCTTCTCTATATAACTTGTTGTTCTATGAACTTAATTTGTTTGAAAGAAAGATTTAATTCTTAATTTTCTATTTTGATATTTGCTTTGCTTTTTAATCTAAATGTGGTAAGTAGTACTGTTTTAAAAATTAGTATAAAAATAATTCAGGTTGCTGTTTTTGATCTTTATTTATACCTGAGACCTGCAGTTTTCTACAGTCCAAGTCACAATTAAAAGTAATAGCATTCTGGTTATTTTGCAGAATTGCTCATAAGAATGGACAGGATCTTGAAGGCTAACTGCAAGGAACTGTGCACACTGGAACTCAGTTGTAGATTTTTTTTCTCATTTCTATTTATTCTTATTATACATTATTTATATATACATATTTTAGTATTTACATTTTAACATTCTATATTCAGTGGAGTTCTATATTTCCAATCATTTTAACTTACTCACTAAAATTTCTGTGTAAATTTGTTGTTTTCGTACTGGTGTGCTTAGCATTGTGTTAGTTTTTTATTCTCCTTTCTTAAATTTCTGAAAATGTCAATTTTTCAAAATTTACAGCTGTCCAAACTCCAAAATGATGATAGAGAATTGACCAAGAAAAATAAAGAAATCTGTTAACAGGCCATGTATGCCTTTTTAATTCCTATTTTTTCCTCTTTTTCAATTTTTTAATATTTCATATATTTTGTATCACTAGGCAGAAGACATTTAACTATTTAGATATTGCATGGTAAAGTAGTTAGCATTGTTGCAGTAATTTATAGAATCAGTAAATCTTAGAGGACACTAGCAAATAGAATGTTAGAAAAGGAAACTAGTGTTCCTGTTAATCTTCAAATTTGAGTATTTCGTTTAGAAAGCACAGGCTATTTGACTAGGTTGCATGTTTATTACATGTTTTTGTCCTACTGCTTTTTTCTAACAGGTAAAGAAGCATTAGGGAGAGTTCAGGAATGGCTGTAGTTAATTAGGGCTAACTGGAATTTTATTTAAAAATGCTCACAATACAGTGTGTGTGGTTCCTTTTAGTTTTTATCTTGAGGGTGACCTTGACTTCCCTCATTTAGCTGTGCTTCTTTCCACAGGGATGCCCGGGTAGTTAAAGACATGGCAACTGGAAAGTCCAAAGGCTATGGTTTTGTATCTTTTTATAATAAACTGGTACGTTCTTTCGATTAATCAAAAATCTTAAATTCTGGATTTAGTTGTTTAAAACTTATAACTGGAACTTTAATATACTTGCTTGTCAACCTAGAAATACAAATTTTACATAATTTCTTGAGTATACTGATGATAGAAAATCATTCTTTCATAAACTTGAATATATCATAGGGTGATTGCACTATGAAGATTAAGTTGCATTTATGCATTGGTTAAGGTAGTATGTGTTAGAAGTAAAGCCAAAGGCTAGTAGAAATGGGCCAGTAGGAGAATTTGGAGGAATGGTAAGTTATATTCTGTATCGAGCAGGGAAATCTGTTTTGTTCCATCAAAATAGTATTTTTATAACTGGGATAAATTTTCTTATATCTTCTCCAGTAAATGTTAAATTTCAAGTCAACCATAAAAGTAAGATACTTAAAAACAACCTTGTCTTGTGAGCTTTTTATTTTATTATAATAATATTGTTCATTTCTGTATATTTGAGGAAAATGTTTTTGGGTAGTCAGGATTGTAGGATTTTTTCCACCATATATAAATGAAACATGATAATTCTTTTACTTGTGCTTAAATGTTATATTGGTATTTTGAAGTCTATAAGTAAAAAAATAGCTTTTATGCTCAAGGTACTAGTTCTGGTTAGGTGCTTAGTGAGGTCACTGAGGTTTGTTGGTGCTCGCTTTGGTTTCATTTTACTGGGTCTTCGGTAACACTTTTGTTTCTAACTGCTCTTTCTCCTTTTTTTTTCTTCCCTAGGATGCAGAAAATGCAATTGTGCATATGGGGGGTCAGTGGTTGGGAGGTCGACAAATCAGAACCAATTGGGCCACACGTAAACCACCTGCACCTAAAAGTACACAAGAAAGTAAGCTATATCTGCTGCGTATGTTAAACTTATAGATCCTCCACAAATCGTGTATCATTATAGTTTTAATTTCTTAGTATTTAAATTAGTGTTATAAGACTTACCTTGAATGTCATTATCTGAGCTTTCTATGTTAAGTATCTTTCAAGCTGTAAACCACCTGATATATTTATAGATAAAATTTATATTAAAGGCTGAGGATGTAGCTGAATTGGTAGAGTGCCTGTGCTTGCCTAGTTTTCAGGAGGCCCTGGGTTTGATCCCCACCATCACATAAACAAGGTTTGATGGTGCATGCCTATAATCCTAATACTTGGGAGGTGAGGGCGGGAGAATCAGAGAAATTCAAGGCCTCAGCTACATGGCTAGTTCAAATCTAGGCAGGGATTCAGGAGATCCTGCCTCAAAAACAGCAACTACGCTGGGTGTAGTGGTTCAGGCCTTCAATCTCATCATTCGGGAGGCAGAGGCAGACAGATCGCTATGAGATCAAGGCCAGCCCAGTCTACATAGCAAGTTCTAGGCCAGCTGGGGCTACACGAGACTCTGTCTCAAAAAGCCAAAACAGTAACAACAAAAACTATTAAGTCATAGTATTGACAGAAGAAAATTTTTTCCCTCCCACTGGGGCATATTTTAACAGTATGTAGATGAAAGATTTTGCATGTGTGCGTGTGTGTTGATGCTGGGGATTGAACCAGGGGCCTTGTACATGCTAGACAAATGCTCTACCACTGAGCTACAATCACAGAACAAAAAGAGTTTTCCAACTGTAACTGTGCATTTATTTCATTTTCTTCTGCCTGTAGCTAACACTAAGCAGTTGAGATTTGAAGATGTAGTAAACCAGTCAAGTCCAAAAAATTGTACTGTGTACTGTGGAGGAATCGCTTCTGGGCTCACAGGTAGTGTTTTTTCCTAATCACCGTCTCTGTTGGTGCTTCAGCTCTATTAGCATGAACTCTAAATGTTTTATTTGTATGTTTTTCTCTTCTAGATCAGCTTATGAGACAGACATTCTCCCCATTTGGACAAATTATGGAGATAAGAGTTTTTCCAGAGAAGGGTTACTCATTTGTCAGGTAGCGTTGGGACTACAATGCCATTTGATTTGTTTTCCCTTAAGGCTTTGACCCTTACTAGGCATCAGTTTGCTATTTCAGTAGTTACCTGTGTAATGTAATTTAAGAAAAATGCCAACTTAGAGGTGCCCACTAATAAATTCCTCTATAATTTGCTCAAGTTCTCTGAAATAGAAGACAAAACCTCAGTATTTTTTCCTCTTAGATTTTCAACTCATGAAAGTGCAGCCCATGCCATTGTTTCAGTGAATGGTACTACAATCGAAGGACATGTGGTTAAATGCTATTGGGGTAAAGAATCTCCTGATATGACTAAAAACTTCCAACAGGTAATTCAATTTTTCTTAGCATTTTTTAAGGTTTCCATCTTACCGATCTACATAAGAGCTTTGGAAATGAACAGTAAAATAAAGCATCTAGCTGCTTTCAGTTGATTGTGTTAATGCTATTTCAAAGTTGATTGTCTTGCGGTATTAACTGAATCTTAATACTTTCTTTTCACAGGTGTCACCACCCCAATAAACTTAGGCAATGATAAATAACAGAGTCCTATTCACATAAGGGTGCTTACTTAGTTTTTCTCTTCCTTGTCTCCCACTCTTTCTTCAAATACGGTGTTTGTTACTTGTTCCCTAAAACAGTAATATGCTTTCTCCTAGGTTGACTACAGTCAGTGGGGGCAGTGGAGCCAAGTGTATGGAAACCCACAACAGTACGGACAGTACATGGCAAATGGGTGGCAAGTTCCGCCTTACGGAGTATATGGGCAACCATGGAATCAACAAGGATTTGGAGTAGAGTGAGTTGTTGTGTTTTTTCCAATGTAGAAACAGATAGGCTTCTGTGCTGTTCTAAGAGGAGCTATTTAAATGCTATATGTTGAGATATTTGGATTGTGATCGTTATAGTAGCAAATCTCATGAAATATGATCTGTAATGCTAAAAACTTACTTCCCTTTTCAAGATAAATTACCTTATTTTTGCTCATATACAATGTCTTTCTATCTAGATGTGTTCAGAAACTTGATGATATTGTTTGGCATATATGAGACATCTTGGACATGTGTGTGAAACAAAGTATACTGATTGCTGCTTATTTCTCCTCTAGGCCAGGCTAGATCTTTATTTCCACTGGCTCCCTTTCTTGAGACTCATTCCAACATGGATGCGGTTTTTAAATTATTTCTTACAGATTGATAAATTATTTATATGAACCATGTTGTGTTATTTATGTTTTGTTTATGTGGTTTCTCTCTTTTTTAAGGGTGGGAGGGAAAGTCAGTGGGCTAGGCCAGGCATGGTGGTTCACACCTTTAATACCAGCACTCTGGAGGCAGAAGCAGTGGGATCTCTGTGAGTTCAAAGGGAGCCTGGTCTATATGACAAGTCTTTAGTGACTCTGTCTCAAAAAACAAAAAAGCCTCAAACAAAAGAATCAGTGGGCTAGGCCATTCAAGAGCTCTACTGCCTGCGAGGCGTTCAGTTCTTTATTTTGGTGAGCCCATCTCTGTAGCCAAGATTTGTTGAACACTCATTGCAGTCCTCCTGCCTGTGCCTCAGTGGCTGCAGTTACAGACATGAGCTATCACACCTAGCACATTTTCTAAAATTCAGCTTTCAGGTAGTCTTCAGACTTGTGGTAAGTCGTGATTCTCTTAATGAAATTGGGCTGGGATGTAGGGCACTTGCATAGCGTGAACGAGGTCCTGGGTTTAATCCCCAGCACAGCAGTGAAGTGAAAACCAAAATAAAAAGCAGCTTTCGAACTTAATGGTGGTTCTTGTACTCTGTGTGCATGTCACTTGTTTCTTTGACATGTTGGTTCTTGTAGGATTGTTGATTTCTAGTTGTGTTCTGTGATTAGACTCTGCTTAGTTTTGGTATATAACTGTAGATTATCTTGTGTTTGCTGAAGACTTTTTTCCTCTCTTCAAGTCAATCACCGTCTGCTGCCTGGATGGGTGGATTTGGTGCTCAGCCTCCCCAAGGACAAGCTCCTCCCCCTGTAATACCTCCTCCTAACCAAGCTGGATATGGTATGGCAAGTTACCAAACACAGTGAGCTGGGACTCTGAACAGAATTGTAACTCATGATAGGCTGCAATTTCCTGTGACACTCTGAAGACATGAAAAGTAGACATCGGAAAACGAAAATATTTATTTTAAAAATTGAAATGTTTGGAACCTTTAGCACAGCTTTGCTTTGGTGAAGGACACGTGTCTTCTAGTTTTGCCTTTTTTTTTGTTCATGATGGATATGAACATGATTTTTCTTTGTGTACAAAAACTAAAATAAAGTCAATAAAGACAATTCTGACTACAGATTTTGATATAATAGGAGAAATGGGTAATACATTTTGATTTTTAGACACTATTCCGTTTTTATCTTGCTGTTCAGTATTTTAACTCACTGTGTTTTTAAAAGAGCAAAAAAGGGAGTATCGTGAATGACTGAGAATCACATAATTCATCCTGAGCCCTGATCTTCCCCTCCCGTCCCTGAGGTGGACCCCATGAGACGGCAGCAGGAAGATGCTCAGAAGTACGGGATGGGGAGCCATGGTGGAAGAGACACTCGCTTCCCTCTGTGCCTGAAGAAACCGAAGCCAGACTGGAATTCTGCAGCCAAAATAAGGAACAGCATTGTCTAGTTACTTGAGAATATTGGTGGTCCACATTAAGACATATTTTTAAAACTTAAAAAAGTGTTGGTTATTAAAAATGTAGAATATTACATTTCATTTTGGGGGGAACTCCAAGTATGATGTTTGTATTAAAGTCAGACAGACATACTTGTGCTTTTACATGAAGTTTAAATGATAAACATTGTAAATATTGAATAACTACAGTGTTTAAAAAGCATGCTTCAACATAGAAGTAGCAGCAATGTAATTATTTGAGGTAACACATAACACATTCCACTACATTGAATGCAGTGGATTGATAAGATTGTTTAAGACTGACACTCAAGGTTGGGTATGTAAAATTAAATGACACAATTATTACACAGAAGAAGCCTTAATTTTAATTTCATACAAATCTTTGATGCATTAGTATATTCTAAACTGTCATTGGTAATTAGATTTGGGGTTTTTGTGGGTTTTTTGTTTGTTTCTGTTTTTTTTTTTTGTTTTTTTTTGTTTTTGTTTTTTTTTTGCTTTACATTATTTGGTATGTAAATACCTTGATTAAAACCTTGTGAAACAATTTCAAGGTTCCTATAAGTTGTATAGCACAAATGTTTTTTAAAAATCTTGGGATGTTTTTAAAAATTAGATATATTTTGCCCAAGAGTTTTTTTAACAAGATTGCTAAAACATCTTATTTAGACAATTTGATGTACCAGTTTATAATTGGATATTCAGTTTAAGTCGTACACAAAGTTGTGATTTTTCTTAATTTGTTTTTTTCCTTGTGGGGAGTGCATGGGTGATAAGTCTGAGGCTTGAGATGTGTGTGTGCAACTTGTAAATGAGTCAGTTGGGAAGATGCAGGAGATTGAGGCTTGCTTCTAAGACCTCATATTTCTATAAAACGGGAATGTAAAATAGATAAAATCATATGTATTTAAATTGTGACAGCTAGGGGGTGCAAATGTTTTGGTAATGTATTTTAAATGTTGGCCTGTGTAACCCAGATGAGAAGATAGCCCTTTACAGTTCAGCAATGAGATGCAACTGGCATCCAAAAATTGCCGTTTTCTAAGCCTTTGAGGTCTTGAGATTAACTTTAAGGTAGTGATGATTTTATATATTGGCAACCACAAAATTGTTGGTATTTCTTTCTCCCTTTCCTCACTTAGAAATACAGCCAAATGTATTTACCATAAAATCCACAGGGTCTGAGCCAAAATTTTTTACGACACCCTAGTTTTGGCCAGCGGCCATGTGTTGCTCGGCTACTAGATACGCCATTGCTTCTTTTGTTCTTACTGTCTTTGGGGATGTTTTTGGGAAAGTTGCTTTATATTTTATAGGAAGAACATAAACTATATTCTGCCCCTGAGTTAAGATTTTCATGAATCTTTGTGAAACTCAAACAGCTAAAGACTTTTTTAAAATTGGTAATTGATAAAAGCTTATTAAATTAAGTTTTCAGTTTTTTTTCCTCTGCCAGCAAATTAAGTGGCTTATTGAGATAACTAACAGCTAAATATAGCTGTAGTGTTTCTTGTTGTATATTCTATGATTTAATAAAATTATCTGGACTAGTTATATTGCCATAGTAAACATATGGCTGAAGTGTCTTTCGTCTTAATTTGGACGAGAAAAAGATTTCATGATCAATTAGTCACAGTTACTTCATATTAAAACAGTTTTAAAATAGAAAGTTACTTGTCCAAATGAAGTGCACCATTTTAGAAAAGGTGACTGTTGAGCTGACAGCTTCAGACTGTTTACAGCACAGATGCAGGTTAGTGCCGCCTTGGTTGGATTTAAACCTGAGAGTTGTTGCCTTTTCCTTCCTGTGTTCATTAAAAGCAGCAGCAGAGGTTCTTTGGCATGCAAGGAAATGTTTCCTCATAATTTCTCGAGACTTATTGTAGTGATGTGTTTCTGCCTGCCATCGGCTTTGCTACAAGCCTTCCTCCATTTAGCAGTTCCCCCGTGGCATTCCCACGTGACCTTCATGTCTGCTGGCAGTGAGAGGCTAACCTGACTGGCCCACTGAAGCCAAAGCTGTAAACCACAGTTGAGTAAGTCTTTCAATAAAGACTAGACTATATAAGTGGCTTTTTCTTATTGTTGTTTATTGCATAATTACTCCAGGCTGCTGTGGAATAAGTAATTTTTTATTTATTTTTAATTAAAATGTGTGCGCGTGCGTGCGTGCATGCATGTGTGTCTATGTGTGTGTCCAGTTCCAGGGGATCTGACACCATCTTCTCTCCTCTGCGGGCCTTGCATGACATGGGTGCACTTACACACATGCAGGTAGTACACTCATACACAAAAAAAAATGCTAAAAAAAATTAAGTTCTGGTTATGAAGGAATAGAAAATTGCATCCATGGGGCTAGCAAGATGGCTCAGCAGGTGAAGGCACTTGCTGCCAAGCCTGACCTGAATTCAACTCCAGGACCTACATGGCGGAAGGAGAGAAGTGACTCCTGCAAATTGTCCTCCAACCTCCACACATTCCCTGTGGCGTGCATGTGAACACATAAATGTAAAACAATTCTAAAATTTGCTTCTTTCTGAAAATCTGCTGAGGGACTGGAGAGATGACTAGGCAATTAAGAACACTGGCTGCTCCGTCAGAGGACCTGGGTTCAGTTCCCAGCTAACTGTCCATAACTACAGTTTCAGGGAATTCAGTGTCCCCTTTTGGCCTCTGCAGGCATTGCACAACATGAGTGCATTTACCTGCATGCAGGCAAAACATACACATAAAATACAAACTTAACATGGATCATTATATAGTAAAGCATTCATTTGAAGTACATAAACATTTATTTTACAATGCCTAAATGGATCTTTGTTATTAACTATCGAATATCAAGAAACAAATGTTCGGAAGTAAATATAATCAGTGTTCTAGACACAGGAAGTAGATATGCCCAAATTAAACTCTAGGCTGTGGGCTTCATTTGTATTGATTGCTGCAGAGATGCAGAAACTGTTTTAGCCATTACTAGTTTCTAAGACTTCACTCTCTGGGTGCTGTGGTGCACACCTGGTAATCTCAACACTGCCAGAGTGCATGAGCTATGTATGAGAAACCCTGCCTCAACACCCCCCCGCCCCCAAAGTGACCCAAATTGGGGCTGTGTTGCATAGGCTGCAGATTGCCACCGATTCCCTTTGCTGGGGATGGAACCCCTGGCCTTGAGCATGCTAGGCAGATCCTCTGCCATGGAGTTATTACCCCTAGGATCCCCACCCCCTTTGGGCAGGAGGAATTGAGACGGGGTCTCACTGTATTTCACAGGCTGACCTCAAACTTAAGATCGTCCTGCCTCAGCCTCCTTTAGTACTGAGAATGCAGGTGTATGTCACCACCTAGCTGTTACAGTGTTGAAATGCCAGGCTATTGTGGAATGGTCAGCCAGTCTAGCTAAAATGGTGAACTCCACCCTCAGTGACTATCAGGAAAATAACATGGAGGGCTGGTAAGATGGCTCAGTGGGCAAAAGTGCTCGCTGCCATGCCTGATGCCCTGAGTTCCGTCCCTGGGATCTATATGTTGGAAAGAACCAGCTCCCTCATGTGCTCTGACTTCCACACATGTACCCACTGATGGACCACACAGAGTAGATAAAATGTACAGATTAAAAATGGAGGTCAAAGCCGGGTGTGGTGGTGCACGCCATTAACCCCAGCACTTAGGAGGCAGAGGCAGGTGGATCTCTATGAGTTCAAGGTCTCCATAGTGAGTTCCAGGACAGCTGGGGCTACAAGGAGACCCTGTCTCAAAAAAGACCCAAAAAATCCCTAAACAAAAAAGAAACATCAAAACAACATCAACAAAACCCAAAAATCTCAGTGTTTTCTAGCAAAGGGAAGATAATTCTAGTTATTTGTATAAAACTTCAGTGACCTGTGGATTTATTGTAGTTATTTATTTCATATGTATGAGTGTTTTACCTGCATGTAAAGTGTACATGTGTGCAGTGCCTGTGGAAGCCAGAAGAGGGCATCAGATTCCATAGAATTGGTGTTACAGATGGTTGATAGCTGCCATGTGGGTACTGGGAACTGAATTCAGGTCTTCTGTAAGAGCAGCCAGTGCTCTTAACCACTGAGCCATCTCTCCAGCTTCTGTCAGAGATCTGTGTTTATCAGCAAAAAAAAAAAAGAGGTCAAGCATGGCAGTGCATGCCTTTAACCCAAGCTCTGGAGAGGTAGAGGCAGGAAGATCTGAAGTCAGCCTAGCCTGGTCTACATAGTTCAGACCAGCCAGGGCTACGGAGTGAGACCCTGTCTCAAAAACAAATTAGAGACTATATTAAAGAGACAGTGTCAACTGTACCACATGCCCATATGGACACATGTAGGCACACAAAGCTGGGGATTGGGGGGGAGGCGGAAGTTACTAACAATTGATTCTTTAGGCTTTTGTTGGGAGAAATAATGTGTATAATTTTCATGACTCAGTTTTAAACTATCAGTCGCAATTAACAAAAGGTATATATCTGATAAGTTATTTCTTTAACGAGTCAACTCAAATCCAGTATGTATCCTAAGTATTAACTTTTCCAGTCTGTTCTGTTTTTATTTTACTATTGTTATTGGATCTGGATTTACTATGCCGTGCAGTTTACAGGGATATCCAACCCACAGCCCATAGACTACATGCAGCCCAGGACAGCTGTGAACTCAATGTGGTGCGCCTTGTTTCAGGATTATACACGGGTGTAGGCATAGGCTTTTTTTGTTGTTACTTGGTTGTGTAGTTCTCAGCTATGAACTTTGTAGATGACAGTGTCACGTCACAATGTCAAAAGGTTGAACAGCTCTGGCAAACTGATTTTGAGCTCCTTGGGCTCCAGTGATCCTCACACTTCAACCCATGGACATCTAGGACTATAGACACATGGCCAACTGTTTTTGAATAAAAGCATTAACTTGTATCACTGAGGTGATTCTCTGGAAAAATAACCCATATTTAATGTGTGTTGTGTCTCCCCCACCCCCACTTTCTTTGGTGCTAGGGATTAAATGCAGGGATTTGTGCCTGCTAAGCTTACCCTTTAACACTGAACTAAACCCCCTCAGTACTCCACTGTTTCCCAGCCTCTTTTCCTCCCTACCCCCCAATCAGGTTCCTGCTAGGTTTCCCCAGCTGACCTCCAGCTACTGGGCTCAAGGCTATTGTAGCCTTCTGAATAACCGGGACTACAGTTTGGTACCACTCGCCTTGTTCCATTTCTATTGTCTTGAGGTTACTTGGAAAATTTATAAAATGGTTAAAGCAAGTGATTTGGGTAGCTATTAGAGGAAAGCCAGGGGAGACGGTACTAAAAAGCAATCTCCTAGTTAAATTGGCCAGT